GTTTTGTGCAATTTAAGCATCTGGTTAAGAAATGTGAAAGTTGAAGTAAACCCATCTCGGCTCTTCTCTTATGCTTCCACAGAAATCGTACCCTCCATGCATAGTGCTGCGTACTGTTGCCCTTTCTGTGGATGAATAATTTGGCAAGTTTCTGTCTGCTCATTTCTCCTCTGCAGTTGCAGGAGGCTAACGCTGTCAGTCTTCAGTCAGAGTTGTTTGTGGTGGATGCTTGGAAAACCGATGAGGCACCCTGGCGATGCTATGATAACGTGTAAGAGAAAGGCAGTGTGATTTTGCGTCCTCTTCGCTAATTGGTACCGTCCGTCTCAAGGTTCTCCCTTCGTGGCAAAATAGCTTTTCTTTTCCGGTCCTTTTTCCTTAAAATTTGTAAGCTTCATTATGCAAGACAAGCGATGTTCACCTGATCTTGGCGATACGGTTTGTAATCTCGCACATACGAAAATACTTCTGTAGGGGAACTCAGAAAAGGATAAGACTTGATATGTGGGGTACCATGTCTTCTAAAGACACATAAGACAGAAAGTGTAAGACCTCGAGAGCTGCAGCCATTGACGAGCGGTAGCGGTGGTTCAAAATTTGAAGTGCAGCAAGTAGCTGCTCTTACATCATTTAGAAAGCGGCGATAAAAGGTGAGGGTGGATGTCGGATTACGGATCGAACAGATATGAAGGGAGTGCGTAAAAAATTCTAAACGTGTTGACATTCTAATCAACGGCATGGAGCAACGGGTTTCTCGTATACTTATCACAGGGATGAGATATTCAGCCTTCCAAAACTGTCATCTGATTTGCTTTCTCTCATTTACGAGCTGTTTATGAGGATTATCATCAGTCGCAAAACAAGATTCCCTCATAGCAAGCAGCTGTGGGAGTAAACTAGGTTAAGCAGCACAATACAATGGGCCACATTTTCGCTCCAAAACAGCCGCTGGAGTGCGCACGAAAGTATTAGTTCTTCCTTTCACTATCCTTTTTTTCGGTAGTTACAAAAAGGCATTCGAGTTGAATGCTGTGTTGCGGACTCTTGTAGATGGAAAGATTAGTGGGGCCAAGCGGAAAATGTTAAAGAAGTGAATACAAGCTGTGCGACAAGCACAATACTTTTCCCGCTCCGACCCGTAGACCGGTTGAAAGGAGCATAACGCATGAGAGGTCCTGACATCGTCCACGCTTCTGCCTAAGCCTATTTTTGTCCGAGTTTATTTCCGATAAATTTTTCGCTTTTTGAAGGGTCTAGCATTTTTTCCTGGTAAACGGGTAATTTTGGCGTCATTTCTGCGCAGAAAATCATCCTTGTGCCGTCTCCGTTCATCCCGACTGCACTACAGGTTAGTGTTTAGAGGCCAATGGTGCACTCCGAAAGGAGGAAAGGAAGGAAAGTAAGCAGTTGTTTCCTGCTACTTTTTCGATGCCGAATTTACACACAACACTAAGCGAATGGCACCCCCAAAAAAGGAAATAACCACTCTGGCGATTTCCGAAAAGATTGCTTACGTGTATGACTGGGCGAGGGAATGTTAACTGGAGGCAAAGAGCCCAGGATCGAAGAGAACCAGAATAACGAGGTCATTTTCAGTGAACAACCGGTCACCGGGAATTATTTTCCTTCATGCAAAATTTATAGTAATGAGTGCACAGTTTAAATGTAAAGCAACAACCATTCATTCAGCTAACAACGTGACTGCTTAAAGTTTAGCACAAAAATGCATTATCGCGCCGGCAAACCTGGTGCGTCGCAGTCTAGATTCCATCTACTTATTAACATGAGACCTTGTGAAGGTATACATTGAACGATTAAAAGTTCTGGAGCGAAGTGTGAGGCTACGAACCGGAACTCAGTTTCGTGATAGTTTGGCCC